AAAAATTTTAAAAATTCAAAATGGGGGTGGGGTGGGGAAAAAGGCCCTACTCACTAGGGCAGGGTATGGAACATTGCCTTTGTGGGTTGTTTACCAAATGACCTTGATATCCCCTAAGACTGTGATGTCAGTATATTTGATTATGGTTAGAAATTTATGAAACTTTGCCCCCTGATGGGTCTACTATTATTTATGGGGATATATTGGCAGCACGTACAACCATGCATATAGAAATATCTGTCAAACATATGTTAGATCATGGATGTAGTCTCCTTCACATACCAAATTTTGTTTTTTATTTAAAAAAAAAAGACCAAATTTATTGTTTCGATAGAGATTGGTGAACACTCCCTTGCTTCACCTCCTTAGAAACCTTTCAAATCTGAAACAAAATTCATTCTTGTGGCTCAATTTTTAGTCAAACAACAGGCGACCGAGGGAGGCACTCCTTAGAATAACAAGGTCAAAATAAAAGCATTTCTTAAGGATATTAAGATAAAGCCTTAATGACAGGATAGGATAGGATAAAGGAATTAATCAGTATCAGAATTATAGGGAGGGATTGAGAAGAGTATGATTACATAATGGGTATTGTCATTAATGATATATTTGGAAAATGTGTTTGCAAAATTGACTTAAAATACAATATATTTTGTAATCTTTCACTCAAATTTCAATAAAGAATTAAACCAAGTATTTGGGTTGTTTGCTTTCTTAGTGTTGACTTTTAAAATTTTTTCTATAAAATGGGTTTGTTGGATACATAGCTGGCACTCCATTGGGTTTTTGAGGCTGCAAACTGCAGAAGGGATTTTGCCCCTCTTTCCCCCAGGGAACCACTGGTGGGTTTTAACAGCCAGAAAGCTACAGCTTTTGAGTATAGCACAACTACCTATATGTACTACATCACTTGTTGACTGCTTTCGAGTTGAGCATGACTCTTAATGACCCTATGAACAAAAGGCCTGAAGCCCCTCTACAACTATCGACATTTACCGAAGTTCAGAGAGTTTCCAAAGGTATGTTATTTAGGAAGGGATGCCACTCTTGCTTCCAAACCTGTCATAGAATGTTGTTGGTTGAGTTGCCTGCGATGCATAGCGATCCTATGTACAGCAGCTCTGAACCCTTCCCAGTCCTGAGTCAGTCTCACTTACTCTGACACACCATCCCCCACTGTCCTAATCACTGCATCAATCCATCTAATCTGGGACCTTCCTCTTCTGCACTGTCCCTCCACCCTTCCGAGTGTGATGTTCTTCTCCAAGGACCAATCTCTCTAGACCACGTGCCCAAAGTAAGTGAGGCGGAGCTTCTAAATCCTAGCGTCCAAGGACAGACTTGTTTTCACCCTCTACAAGACAGACCAATTTGCTTTGTTGGTAGTTTTCATTGTATGTTCAGGACTCTTCTCCAGCACCACAACTCAAAGGCATCTATATCATTGATCAGAGTTTAATATTGGTGTGTGGCTCTTTTTTGAAGCTAAGTGTTCTAAATTCAAATGCCCATATCTTAAGTGCAATAGTTGCTGAATCTTGACAAATTAATGGTCTGTGTAATGTACAGATTTTGAAAAAAAAATGTATAACCAAGAAAGCTAAAAGTGATAGAAATTAAGCTAGTGATAGAATGACAGAATTTTGCACAAGCAATGACTTACTAACTGCATATACAATTTATAAGAAACATAAACACAGGCTATCCATATGGATTTCACCTGATAGTATGCATAGGCATCAGATCTATTACATCTGTGGAAAAAAAATCGCTGGTGAAGCTCAAGATCAGCTGTGAAAACTAGGCCAGGTGCTGATTGTGAACAGACCCTCAACTACTCATATGTAAGTTCAAACTGAAGCTAAGGAAAATGAAATCAAATCCACAGGAATCTAAATTTGACCGTTAGTCTATCCCACCTGAATTTCAAAACCATCTCAGGAAAAGGTTTGAATACTAATATGTGAAGACCAGATAAGTTGTGGGAGAGTATCAAGAATATCATCCAGCAAGAATGCAAAGGGTCATTACAAAGAATAAAGATGAAGAAAACACCATGATGGATGTCAGATGAGACTCTGAATATTGCAGTAGAGTGCCAAGAAGCAAAGGGAAGAAATCAAGATACTAAGGAGCTTAATAGAAGATTTCAAAGGGCAGTGCGGGAAAAGTATTACAATAAAATGTGAAAAGAACAGGAGTCAGAAAATCAAAGGGGCCGAACTCGCTCAGTCTTTCTTAAGTTGAAGAAACTGAAGAACAAATTCAAGCCTTGATCAGGAAGCATTAAAAGAATATATACAGAGTCATTGTACCAAAAGGAATTAGCGGACACAGAAGATTTTCATGAAACAACGTATGAGCAAGAGCTTGTGGTGATGAGGGAAGAAGTTCAAGCTACTCTGAAAGAATTAGAAAAAAAACAAGGCCCCACGAATTGATGGCATACTAATTGAAATATTTCAGCAAACAGATGCTGCTCTAGATGTGCTCACCAAGTTGTGCCAAGAAATCTAGAGGACAACCACTTGGCCAACTGACTGGAAGAGATCTATATTTGTTCCCAATACAAAGGTGACCCGACAGCAGAAATTGTCAAGCAATATCATTGATATCACATGCAAGCAAGATTCAGCTGAAGATTATCCAAAAAACGACTGGAACAGCAAATCAATACAGAACTGCCTGAAGTGCAGTCTGGGTTTAGAAGAGATGTGATAATAGGGATATTATAGTTAATGTTAGATGGATCTTGGCTGAAAACAAGGAATATCAGAGGAAGGTCTATCTGTGTTTCCTTGACAATGCAAAGGCATTTGACTGTGGATCACAACAAACTGTGACTGACTGAGAAGAATGGGGATCCCAGAACACTTGATTGTGCTTATGCAAAATATATGCTTGGTCCAGGAGGCAGTTATCAGAACAGAGAAAGAAAACACTGCATGGTTCAGAAGTGGGAAGGGACCAGGGATGTGTCCTATCTCCGTACCTTTTCAATATGCAGAACAGATT